GAAACTACTCTGGTGTGGGACTGGGTAGGGAGAGAGTCTGGAGTGTGGGACTCATTAAGGGCTGTTACAGGAGAAGGGATTGTGAGAAGCTGAACTAAGATCAAATGTGTTGGGAATATAAAGTGGAAACTGAGTCTTGCACTCTACTTGCAATTGCATGTAGAAGGTGAGGGAAGAGGTATGACTTGAGGGATGATTGAATGGTGGTGCCTTTAACTGAGAGAAGAAACGAGAAAGGATCAGTGTGGGGGGGATGATTGTTTTCAACACGGAATCCAGGTGGTGTTTAGCAATCTGATGGGTTGGTTATTGAGAAAAGAGTTGGGGGCTAAATATATAGATTTGGGTGTCTAAGCTTAGATGGAATCCCCAGAATGAGCAGAACAGGAATGAACAGAGGAGCTGTGGAAGGAGTTGGAGAAGCAGCCATGGGCATAGAAGGAGGAGAGCCGTATGAATGCCCAGAGATGGAAGGAAGAGGTCCTCAGTGTTCATTGCCACTGAGTGGTGAAGAAGGTTTACCTTACCTAAAAGCATTTTCACTAGAGAGGTATTTAGTCAGTCTTCTTGGAATCGGTTCTTTTACCATCTGTTTTGTTTTCCAACTTTTTATCGTGAAATATTTCATACATATGAGAGAATGTGTGTATACATGTATATAATAAAAAAAAATCTTCAATATCCAGGTACCCCCTTTAAAAACCCAGAATATCACCAGTAGCTTTGAAACTCTGTCCCACCAGAAGTTGATTGTATTGCTTCTTTAGCATGAATAAGGAGATTTTAAGCTTAGAAGGTATTAATGCTCAGATTTAAAGAAAATGTTTTATCTGTGGTTTAGTCATGAAGCTGAGAATGCTTTTGATCAAAAGAGGAGAGAGGTTCATTGTCATTAGCTAAGAAAAGCCAGTAACCAGTTAGTCATCTAGGGTCTCCTCAAAGTGTGCCATGGACCATAGGCACAAGAGGGAGAAGCATGGGTCTAGTGTGTTTGAAAGGGCTTGGAAAACTCTTAGTATGTAAACTTTAAAAGGGAAATTGATGGGTGCTGTTTACAGTCTTGAACAAGGAACAAACTGTGAAATGATTGAGAAATAATGAATTGTTCCAACTTATGTTTCATATTTCTTTGCGCCATGGGGCCTGATAGAAAGGGCAAGTATATCTGACCTCCTGTCATCATGGTTTCCTCCCTACAGTGGAACTAATGTAATTTGCAGCGGATTTTGATAAATACATGAATTTGAGAACATGAGGTGGACATGAATTTATGTCAGGGATGTGGCTGGGAGATTGATTTTATGTCAAATTTAGGGGTATATGTGCATGTACTGAATTAGAAAGTGAACTACACGATCACTGTAGCAGTATAGTGGTGGGGAAAGTATAAGCTGTCTTCCATCTTTATCAGATTTGTACACACACCCCTCACCAGGGAAGTGTTGAAAGTTGAAAAGTGCTGTCTGCCTCCTTTAACCCAGTAATCTTGACCAGGAATCAGCAGACTTTCAGTCAAGGGCCAGATAATAAATATTGTAAGCTTTGTGGGCCATACAGTCTCTGTCACAACTACTCAGTTATGTCCTTATAGCACAAAAGCAGTCGTAGATAATACATAAGTGAATGGGCTTGGCTGTTTTCTATTAAAACTTGATTACAAAACCATGTGGTAGGCCATATGGCCCACAGGCTGTAGTTTGTGAAACCTTAGGCCAGACTCACAGGTGGTTTTTTGTTTTTTCTTTTTCCCTTTTTTTGTTTGAGGAAGATTAGCCTTGAGCTAACATCTGTGCCAGTCTTCCTCTACTGTATATGTGGGTCGCCGCCACAGTGGTGGCTGATGAGTGGTACAGGTCTGCGCCCGGGGTCCAAACCCGTGAACCCAGGCTGCCAAAGCGGAACACGCCAAACTACGCCATGGGGCCGGCCCCACACAGGTTAATTTTTGTTGAGTGTGCTGGAGCTAAGAATGGTTATTACATTTTTAAAGGGTTGTGTAAAAAAAAAGAAAAATATACGACAAAGGCCATACGTAGCCCGCAAAGGTTCAAACATGTACCAACCCTTTAAGTTTGCCGACCTCTGGGGAGCCTCACCAGCAAAGCTCCTGATCTCTGCTTGTAGGAACCAGCTCTGTGCCCCATGAGCTGTGGGTAAGCTGGGGAAGGGAGCGTTTGAACCTTGGGGCCTCTAGTCTTTTTCTGATGCAGAACCTAAATATAAAAGCCTGTCTTCCACAAAATCTTTCAGCTTCAAAGGGGGCTAGTCTTCATGTTTTTGTGCATCACCTCCTTGCCTGTTCTCCTGACCCTTAGCAGAACTCACGCCTTCCTTGGAGTGCTCCTTGATGCCATCACCTTCTGTCATGACACACGTTGATTCCACTTTGTGCTCTCATTTGCCTTCCAATCTCTGCTTCTACTAAATTGACAGTCTTTTGAGAACAGGAACTTGGTTTTAATTCATCGTTTGTCCCCCAAGTTCTTGGTACATAGTAGGGCCAGTGCCTACCTGGGTAAATGGATTATTAGTTTTAATCCCCACTGAAGCTATAGTGGTGTCCTCACGGTCTGTGTTGTAGAACTGCTTTTAACTTTTTTTTTTGTGAGGAAGATCAGCCCTGGGCTAACATCCGTGGCCATTTTCCTCCACTTTATATGGGATGCTGCCACAGCATGGCTTGCCAAGTGGTGCGTCGGTGTGCACCCGGGACCTGAACTGTCGAACCCCGGGCTGCCGCAGCGGAGCACGCGCACTTAACCACCTGCGCCACCGGGCCAGCCCTCTAACTGCTTTTAACTTTTAACTATACAAACAGTAAAATACCCTTGGATGGGGTATGAGATAGAACCAGTTGTGCTCTTAGTAAAGTGTCTGAGATTTGTGTACTACTACCCAAACTTCACAGAATCTCTGTGGCCCTTGTGATAGGAACAAGGGTGTACTTTAAAGGGGGCGGGGAGCTAATTGGATGCTCGGTGCTGGGCAGGAACTGTTGTGAATGTTTCACAGATGTTATGACATTAATTCTCACACACCTGAAAGATGCAGGGTTTATCCCTGAGGCTGACTAGTTTAGAGGTTATGAGCGAGGACTCTAGAACCATACTGCCTGAGTGCAAATCTAACCCCTGCTTTGGCCTCCTCATCTGTAAAATGGGGATAATAACAGCATCTACTTCACAGGATTACTGTGAGGATTAAGTAATGTCTGCAAACAGTGTCTGGCACAGGTCATAAGTGTCAGCTCTTCATTACTGTTGCTCCCTACTACTCCTGCTGTCTCTTTTTTAGATATACTCATTGCCCCTTAGTTATCAGGTTGTTGATATATAAGGCCTTTGAGGTTTTAAATCAAGCTCCAAGCTCCATGGTATTCTGACTCTTGTGAAGCTAGTCATTTACATTGACAAGATGTAAGTTTTGCCAAATTATGAAGACTGCCTTTTGTAAAGTAGTGTGGCAGTATGTATCAAGGGCCATGAAAATATTCCTGTTCTTTATTCTGAGAATCCAGGCGCTACAAAAAATCTAACACAGGGAAAATATACTCAAAAGAATTTGTGACAATGATGATTAAATAGGGAGAAGGAAAAACTATATATCCAGGAACACAGGGATGCTTCATTGCAGCAGGCTCGCAGAATGAAATGTTATGTGGCCGTAAAAGTGATTGTGAGGAAGACCAGTTATGTGGGGAGACACTTGTGGTGTGATATTAGGCAGAAAAACTGCCACAGGCATGCACAAGACTCGCAAAGCTATAAACTGGGCTGGTGGGAGGGGAGAAGAAGGGAAGGAGAATTGTAGTTACGTTAGGGTGGGAACTATGGGATTGTTTTCTCTCCTGTTTTCCTTTTTTTCTGAGTGTTGTAATATGGTGACGCTTTTTATAAAGGAAACTTTTTTATTTAATTAAAATGCTTCAACATAGGAGAGCATGTTGGTACATGAAATAACTTTTTGATCATTTATTAGGGGAAAGAAAGAAAGAGAATGGCCATGAGCTAATTGAAGGTAAAACAAATTGGAAACCCTAATCAGTGGGAAAGCATATCCTAGCTTACTCCCTCGGGCTGTTCTAGACCCAGACTCTGGTGATGGTCCTGCAGGCAAAGTCACATCCTAAAGAGTTGCAGGCTCTTTGGTTGAAGCCCAAGGTTTGTTACTTGGGTGTAGATTCTGTGCTTTAGAAAAGTTGGGGTGGGGGGAAAGCTTATGGTAAAATAGTTTTTTCCAAAACTTGGTGTATTTGCTACTTTTCAGAACATTTCTTAGGTGAAGAGAGACTGCACTTCTTTTGCAGAAGGGGTATTCAGGTGAGGTGCTGCTGGAGAGCAGGGACTGTGCTTTTATAACTGACTCTGGGAGCACATCCTACAGCATACGAGGCAAATACGCGTGAATCTCTGAGCACAACAGAGGGGTGTAGTGGTGTCTATGGACTGATGCTTAGATGAACGCTCTTGCCTGTGAGTTTTGCAGTGAAGACTTTCACATGTTTTCATTTTGGTGGTCAGATGTGATTCCTGTACAAGATGCAATATGGGTTTTATTTTTAACTTGGTAAGTGTATAAACACTTTTCTGGTTTTTGTATTTTAAGGGACACAGACAGAGGCCTTTGTCATCTCTCTGGGTGAGCAGGGAAGTGTGCAGGATGCATGCCATAGATTAGGACTGGGAGAAAGAGTGTGTGGTGGAAGGCAGCTACTGAAGTTACTGGAGATTTTAAAAATAAATTCAGACCGAGTATCTCTGTTTGTAAACAAAGAGTTCCTGTAAAAGAGATATGGGGCGTGTGTGTGTATACACTCGACATGTGATTTTAGAAGGCATATTCAGGATATTAACTTCTGTTGCAATGCAAACAACAGAAAGTAAAACAGTGTGACAGAACTTCTTAGAATATAGAGAGGGAAATAATTCATTATATAGGAGAATGGTTTGAAACACTGGTATAGAGTAAGATTTTTCTCTTAATTTTCTTTCTCTCTTAAGGTATCCGAGCCTGCCAGTGGGGTCTGTATCAGCACCCAACCTGCCTACGGCAGAAGAAAATCTGGAGTATGTACGGACTCTCTATGATTTTCCTGGGAATGATGCCGAAGACCTGCCCTTTAAGAAGGGTGAGATCCTGGTGATAATAGAGAAGCCTGAAGAACAGTGGTGGAGTGCCCGGAACAAGGATGGTCGGGTTGGGATGATTCCTGTCCCTTATGTTGAAAAGCTTGTGAGATCCTCACCACACGGAAAGCATGGAAATAGGAATTCCAACAGTTATGGGATCCCAGAACCTGCTCATGCGTATGCTCAACCTCAGACCACAACTCCTCTACCTGCAGTTTCCGGTACTCCTGGGGCAGCGATCAACCCTTTGCCATCCACACAGAATGGACCTGTCTTTGCAAAAGCAATCCAGAAAAGAGTACCCTGTGCTTACGACAAGACTGCCTTGGCATTAGAGGTAAAATCTACTAAGGCTAGTTTTTCAGGTCCTTTGACATTCAGTTTTCATTTTTAGTTTTAATTTCGTTTCTGCAGAGTAATAACTGCTCATTTAAAGTTATATTCATGGGAATAAGAGAATTGAGTGATTTTTGGAAGATCCACTGTGAGTGTTCCACATGATTCTTTTGTCCTTTCTTATTCCTTTTTTCTCCCAAGTTTTCAACCTGCCTGCTCTCTTCTGCTCCCAAAGCCTCCTAGAGTTAGTCTCACAGTAGTTGGTTTTCTTTCCAATAAGGAAAGATGATGGTTAAGCAAGACCCATGACCTAGAAACAAACTCAGCATACAGACACAGAGCCACTTGTATAGCTCCATATTTCTAACATTGTGATCAGTTGAGGAGAAATATAAGTAAGTGTCTTAGAATTTCTCTTCAGCTAGGCAGAGGAATAATTGTAAAATATCTCAGACTTTACTTACTAGAGATGTTGTAAGTTATAGTAGCATGAAATAGAACTTGAACATTTTAATTGCCAAGTCATGTTCTTCTAACTAAACATAAACTGCCTTTAAAAGAAGACTCTTGCAAAGCTTAGCATATTACTGTGGCTTGCCAAAATACAAAGGAGTCCTGAAGACCAGTGTTGAAGAGCCTGTTTGGAGGGGTGAAACTGTATTGCAGAAAGTAAAAGTTTGGTGAGATATCCGATAAGCCCACAGTGACCATTTCTGAGCACAAACCCCGTGGTGTGCCTGGGGAGAGAAAGGACAGAAGGATCTGAAAAATAAGATTTTAAAAATTTATGTTTTTAGAACAGTCCCATATATTTTTGTGTTGTTATTTTTTACTGAGGTGGTGCTTAGATATTCTATCAGAACATAGGATTTGGCTTGAGATTCCCATCTCATTTATTGATAACTTGTGAACCATAAACTACAATGTTAAGTAAATATGATTGTAATATGATTACAGTTGAATACTCTTAGTATTATCAAATTGCATATATGTTAGAGAAACTGAGATTGTTAGTGATTGTTCTCTGTGTATTCGCCCCAAGGTCAAAGTAGGGCAGGTTTAGGAGACAACCCAGCTGCATGGCAGAAGGATGAAGCCTGTTGCTTCAGAAAAGCAAAACTTAACCCACAAAACAGCCTGCCAGCAGATAAAAGATAGCTGTAATTTTTGTGTGTTTTTCCATTGTTTATCCTCAGTTTTCTCTGGACCAGGAGTAATATCGGAGTGAACTACACCTGAGTTTGTTTCAGAGTCCGTGATTACTCCCCCCTTTCATGTTGGCTGTAAGGAAAGAGTGAGCATCTGAGGCTTGTGGTAGGGATCAGGGTCTGGGTAGAACCCAGGTGCTTTTATACTTCCCAGTGGCAGAACAGGAAAGAAACCAGAGGAAGCTGCCTCCACAAGTTGAGTCCTGGCTGATTAGGTCTTCTGGCTTTTTCATTCCCACACAGACCTGCCCCTGCACGGATGCACATCTCTGGCCTAGTCCATACCTCGGTGCCCTAAAATAACTTGGAGTGTTCTGGGCTCTAAATACCTTTCGGTTTGCATAGTGGTTTCAGCCTTTTGAGGCATTTTTACATCATAGGAGTAGGGTGTTAGAATTCATAGTTTGTGTGCCTTGCATGTGTTAGGCAGCTGATTGTTGGCATACCAGCGTGAGAACCTTGGGGGTTGAGGCTCCTAGTCAGAATACCAAGCCCCATAAAGGAAGTCAGGAATTGGGTTCTTATCTGAGCTAGGGTTTAAAGCTTTGCTCCGTTTAGGATGCCTGCCTGTTGACCTTTGGCTCTAAGATGTGTGTTTTAGAAACCCCTGTCTCTCCTGTGTGTTCCTTGGAGTGTGCACAGCGGGGTTGTAGAGAGGAACACCAGGTAGTGTAGAGGAGATCACTTAGAGCTTGGTGAGTGGATATGTAGGTAGGTGCCTTAGACCAGGATGAGGAGAAAGAGCCTGGTTAATGATGTATATTTTAAGATAACCCATATATTTGGCCACTATGCAGCTCTCCTAGTTTCTCAGACCCCAGAGAGAGGTCTCCACACCTGAGCCTCCTCATGACGCTAACCTAGCCATGTAAGCCTCGTCAAAGGCTTGAATTATGTTACCTTCTAAAATTGTTAGAATATGGGGGCCGGCCCCGTGGCGTACCGGTTAAGTGCGCATGCTCCACTGCTGGCGGCCCGGGTTCGGATCTCGGGCGCGCACCGAGGCACCGCTTGTCAGGCCATGCTGTGGCGGCGTCCCATAAAGTGGAGGAAGATGGGCACGGCTGTTAGCTCAGGGCCAGTCTTCCTCAGCAAAACCAGGAGGATTGGCATGCATGTTAGCTCAGGGCCGATCTTCCTCACAAAAAAAAAAAGAAAAGAAAAAAATAAAATTATTGGAATAGTGGTGCCTGTCTGATCTTGTTAAAAACAACTCTCTTGGGACTACTGCAATTAGGTTACCAGGAAAAGTATAAAAATTAAAGTGAGATAGATGAGACAAGTAGGACAAAATGTGCCAGTAATTGAAGCTTCGTTATTGCCCTTGAGGTAGCATTACAGAGAACGATGATGGCTTAGGTGAAGCTTATTTCTTGAATTATTTCACAAGTTTTTTTTTTTCCCCATAAAACTTGGTTTTCAAAAGAACATTCCTGCAAGTAAAGAGGTATTTTTTTTTCTTTTTTTTTTTTAAAGATTTTATTTATTTATTTTTTTCCCCCCAAAGCCCCAGTAGATAGTTGTATGTCACAGCTGCACATCCTTCTAGTTGCTGTATGTGGGACGCGGCCTCAGCATAGCCGGAGAAGT